TAAATATAACTCAGTTCGTGGCTTCAAATATATAAAATATGAATGCGTAATTGCTTTTGGATTTAATAAAGTTGAATGCAAATCGGTGTAGGTCAAATCCCCTTCAAACTTTTTACAATACAACACCACAAACGTAGTCACATTGTGTCTTTTTGTAAAACTTAATTTCTTTTTATTTTGTTAAGAACTTCACGATCCTTTTTAATTCGTTTCTACTTTTCAATTATCTATAGTCTAAGCTGGACTATGATTTTTCTTTTCAAAGTATTTTTACTTAAATCTTTATTCCATTACGAACACAAATCCGATCCTTAGTGATGTGTAACGGCGTTCGACTATTGGTGATTATCTAGATTCCATGTTCCCATCCTCTTCTTCACAAATTATCTTCTGGTATACTTATTACCCTCTCACATTGCATTTTAAATTTCAGTTTTTATCTTAATTCCCCATCATTAACATTTCACTAGTACAACAGTTCATGAGTGCTTTCTGCTTGCTGGAATTTTCGCCACTGATGGGTTCTCAAGAACTCCATGATGGCTCTGTTTCAAATTTTATTAAAATTCTCATAATTATATTTAAAAGTATATTTTCTTTTATGGACCTTTACTTTTTTATTATATGCTATTTTGTGTCTACAGATCAAGTACTCCATTTGTGTTGTAATTTCTTTTTAATGAAATTATAAGTAAAAATTCACTTCAGAATGCAAAGCAAATATTTAGCAAAGGAAAGTGTTTTCATTTTGTACTCTGAGGCTTAACCAAGCAAATAATTTCATTTTATTTTTATTTTTTATTTAATTAACTTTAAATTGTTTTTTTTTGCGAGACTCTACGAAAGCAAAGTTATAATCTTCACAAAAGTGAAGAGTAGCAGCAGAGAGCTTTAAGAAAAAAAAACATAAAACTTAAGAATATAAATATATGTACATATAATAAAATTTTAGAATATAAACATTTCTTTTTGAGATACTTTATTCATTCAGCATAGAAACTAACACTTTTGCTTGTACTTGGAAATGTCTTGAGGCAAACAACACGTAAATGGTCAGAAGTTGTAGTTTCATCAACTCAAACTGCAAGCGTATCCATCTATGCTAGCGATGTGGGGTTGGTATGTGGGAGCCAGAACGTTAAATAGAATTAAATTCTCTAAGAAGCTTTTATGGCATAAAAGTAAGAGTGTAAGTGAAAATAATTTTATTTATAAACATTTGCACTGCGTTCAGTAGAAAATTGTTTATTCTTGTTTCTAAGTTTTATATAACATCAAATTGCATCCAACTAGAAGCATTCAGAGCATGGGAGACGAATCGAATGGTTGACTTAAAATAGGAAAATTTATTTGAAAGCATAAAAGAAGTGTGAAGTATCTGAGATATTGTTGAAGAAGATTTGTATCTCGTTAAATGTGAACGCATAGTTCTCCTCATGTTAAATGTGGAGGCTGCAACAGCTGTTGATGTTGTCTTACTTTGGAACAAGTGTGAACTGAAAAGTTTTGAAAGTTCTTTCACAGAAACATATAACCACGGGTGTACAAAAAATGCATAGTGAAAGAGTGAAGTCAGGCGGTAACAATGCTTTCAGGAAATTGAGGTTAATTTTATAATTGGCTTAGTGATTATGGGTCGAGAATAAAAAATCACTACATATTAAAGTAAAAGTGTTTCCAAACATATTTCATCATAAATTTCAATAAAAAAAAAACTATTTTGAGAGGCTACAGTTTTAGAAAAAAATATTATATAGCATAAAAGTAATTATAATAAAACAGAGTGTCTTGCAGATATACTTTATTAGCTGTATAAAAAACTTTTCATTTAACATTACTTAGTTGTTTTATATATCATAAACTACACTATGTCAGTATTGAGAAATAAATAATATGCCAGTATATAATATATAATTTGTATATTAAAAAATTTGAAATCTGCATAAAATTATTTTATTAATTTTTTTATATGAAAGCACTCGATACGACTACCTAGCAATTTCAATTGATCGGGTTGTCTAAAGAAAGATGCTAAATGTAGCCAAGACTAATTTAGCAATTAGTACATATGTTATAAGATGATAAAGAACATCTCCAACTGCTTATTTTTAAGAAAAAAAAAATAATGTATATACAATAATGTATTATAGCTTCAACGTGCTAAGCACTATTGGTTACCAGTACTATTATTTAACAGGGTTAAACATTAGCTGTCTGGGACACTGTGTCCATTGATGAATTATTGCATGTTAATAGCAATAATAACAATAATAAACTAGGGATACAAACTTTAAACAAACCATTGTAACATTTTTCGTACTGCAGGCAAGTCTATAACCGTAACTCTTCGGTTCCATTCTGTCTGTCTAATGAGGTCCAGAATGTCTTTCGAAATGGAATTCCTACTGATAAGAAACGATTTTAATACAACTCATTCCAGTGTCCATTGCATAGAACTGTTCAAGCAACGCTCAGTTGAGTACAAATAACGTCTCGTTGTAATACCATGGATAAAAGACGTTGCTTTTGCACCAGGCCAGGAAGATCACCTAGACAGGTATAAAGAGCAAAGCGGTGTTTCCATAGACAAAATCGAAAAGAACACACACGATACCCCTATTTAATAAAAAAAAACACTAACATACAATATGACATAAAGTCTCATACTGTTTCCAAACAGAGATGTTAAGAATTTAAGTATTCTTAAATAAATGAATTCAAATGATTGACATTAAATGTATTTAATAACATAATAATGATGAATACTTCCATTTTATAGATTTATATAGATGAAATGAGACTTTTTCCAGATCAACAGTTATCAACAGTTATGCTCAGTGAACCGAAATTATAAAAGGAGTTGTAGGCTGTCATGATACATTATATTTCGAGGTAAAGCTTTTGAGTTTTTTGTTGAATGCTAGTCATTGCGAATGGTGATTAGTTCACCGACTCATTCCATGATGCTAGGGCAATCTGGCTGATTTCTACACTAGTTAATGCCACAAAAAATCTCTGCTTCTTGCAACTAAATGGCCGAACTAATTATTTTTCTTTAAGTCTACCTCTGGGTACGTATTTGAATACTACACCAGTAGTGTTCACAGAAAGGTCTGGTGATTGAATGATTAAAATGATTATTTTTCATCTATGCCTTTACTAACTACTATTCTTTTACCATTCCCATTCTTTCCCTTTCCGTTCCCATTGTTGAGGTTTTGTTATTATTCTATAGCTTGTTTTTCAGGACAAGGTGGACCACAACAACAACAACAACAACAGCAATTGAATTGATTCTTGATAGTTCATAGAGAGTTTCAGCATTTTAAGTGCGTTGAAATACTTATTAAAGTATGAAATACTTATTAAAAAGCCCGAGGAAGGCTCGAAGAAGATAATTTCCAGATCGCTGTTGAATTATAAGTTAAAACGCACATCGAACTTTTGGCGTGGTTAAAATAAGAGTATACATCAATGAGAGACAGTTTTTGTGGTATTTTTTTCATAGTTTTACAATTCTTGGTGAACTAATAATTCTTTAACCAATCCGTTCTACTTCTTCCGGCTGATGAAATGACTTTCTAATCACGCATTTTTTAAGGTCGTCTACTAAATCATTTTTCTCTTTAGTATTACGGGTTCAATTGACATAAAACTTTCTTTAGTTTTCATACCGGATTTATGAGTCAGGTAGATAATATTTTTTACTGTGGAATAAATTTAATTGAATATTAAATATTACTACTTTCCTTTTTTTTTTTTGCACTACTGGATGTTCTATAAACTATTATATGTGAGATAATAAGTGAGTGCAAACAGGGAAGTTTAGCAAATTTGAAATTTTCCATAGTTTTTAATTTTAAATAGACAATTTAAAATAATTAATAAAATTAATATAAATGCAGTGTTAGTAATAGTGTCGATTACTCATCGCGTTTTGTTAAATGCCATGTTCACATAGTAATTAATACACCTTTTATGACATTATATCAATTAATTAATTATAATTATTTTATTAAGATGTTGAGCTTCACTCCCCTACTGTTGGCACTCTCGTTTCTTATAAAATTTATCAAAGCTGTTTTTTTATTGACTTTTTAGAGTCTCATAAAAAGCATTGACATTGATAACAGTTTTTTACATGAGGAAGGTTTTTTTTTTTTATAATTTTAGTTTGTTTACTTTATTTATGGGAAAATACGCAATTTTTTTCGCATTTTAATTTATTAAAAATATAACGAACACGCAAAAAAATTGTTTAACAAATTGTCTCAATGTTTTCCTTTCTCGCATGTGTTGACAAAAAATAATTGCTCAGAAAAAACTTATCACGTGACGCAGTAGAAAACCAGTTAAATTAATTTATTTATTTAATATTTAATTAGCTTAAAACATTTTATTTATTTTCTTTTTTTTTTAATTTAAGTATCAACTTGAGTATTTGATTTCCTAACAGACTAGGGTTCTATTTAATTAGGTTGGACATGTGCCTTGAAAGAGAGAATACCGGCATAAAACTAGGTGGACAGAAAGTAAGTGATTGTTTATTAGCGATAATACACTTGTATAAATAATTATTAAAATGAAAATTAAAATATTACTATATAAAAAGTCTAAATTAATAATAGGGGATGTGGCACTGATAGACCGTCGGGTCTATTGTGACCCTTTCTTGAAGTATTGCTAGTTATATTCATAGAAAACAGTTTTTTTGGGGTTAATAAAAAATTTTAAAATTAATTATTTATTCTTATAAAATAATAAATATTCAAAATTAATGTATATTTATTTTATTTATATATAATCTAAACAAAAATTGCGTTTTATTTAGTTTCCAAATTTATCAAATCGAATTTGTTTACAAAGTTGCTTGAGTCACTTATTGATTTTATTCATATATGTAGAATGTTTATCTAAATACACAAATAATTTAATAAACAATTAGCAATAAATATGTAAATTTACCAGATTAATTAGCAAATTTAAAACTGAAAACTTACGTAAACCAATTTCCACGCTTCGATTTCGTGCGTTTAAACTGGGCCGTCTTTTTCTCTGACATTTTGATAAAAATTTTTCTCACAAAATCTTTAGGACTCAACAAACAGAGTTTTTATCAGCATTACTACGTTTAACACGTTTTATTTTCATTTTATTAAACAACTACAAGTATCTTCAATTTATTAAATTATTTATTATTTGTTTAAAACATTGCGTCATTTTACATTTAAACTGCACCCAAGTCCATAAAAATCATAAGCAAGGCAAATCCAATGCCTTGCAACTAAAAGTGAAATGCATTAGAAAATACTTTCCGGTTTTTTTTTTATTTTCCACTTCACTTAAAACATCAAAGATGTCAAAATCACTTATTTATATATTATTTAAATTTTCATTTAATATATTATCTACTTTGCCTTATATGAGCACACTTAATACTACAGAAAATTTCCAATAATTTCAATGCCATTTGGAAAATTTTATGAGTAAGAAAAACAAGTAAAAAATTGCGCGCTTAATTTAAATTTAATTAATAATTAACGAAAGCCTTTAATTTTCAGGTACGTTCTCAGACACTTCACGATTATAACTGATCCACGAGTTGATCATGTTGCTTGATCTCTGCTCCAACTACGACGCATATTTCTGTTTCAAAGCTATTATAACAACAACAGCATTGGAAACTAAATAGAATCTTAAATTAAATGAGTAATAATTGCTAAGGTTCTCACAGTTCAATAAACAGACACACTGGCAGCCGCCGATAGCAACAAATTAGAATAAAATTAGATAAGCGATAGCGAAGTGAATGAGCGCAGTTGAGTTGATTTAGTAGTGTCTGCCCAATAAATGATTTGGAGAGTGTACTGACGTCACTTGATATATGGGTCGCCAAGTATTCAGCTGTTTGATATAATGAAATAGTGCGGGTAAATAACTTTATCGATACCCTACACTGGTAATACATATCAAACTTTTTCTCAACAATATTTTATATAGCATCTCAATTATATATGATATGAGAGTGTACTGACGTCACTTGATATATAGATCGCCAAGTATTTAGCCGTTTGATATAATGAAATACTGTGGGTAAATAACTTCACCAACAACCTACATTGCCAATACATATCAAAACTTTTTCTCAACAATATTTTATATAGTATCTCAATTATATATGATATGAGAGTGTACTGACGTCAATTGATATATGGGTCGCCAAGTATTCAGCCGTTTGATATAATATAATAGGGCGGGTAAATAATTTCACCTACATCCTATATTATGAATACATATCAAAACTTCTCCCCAACAATATTGTATATAGTATCTCAATTATATATGATATGAGATTGTACTGACGTCAATTGATATATGGGTCGCCAAGTATTTAGTTGTTTAATATAATGAAATAGGGCGGGTAAATATCTTTACCAACATCCTACTTTGGCAATACATATCAAAACTTATACTCAACAATATTTAATATAGCATCTAAATCATATGCCATACAAGACGTCATTTGATATATGGGTCGCCAAGTATTCAGCTGTTGGATATATTGTAATAGTGCGAGTAAATAATTTTACCAACATTCACTATATATTTATAAACGAATTCTCAACTATATTTAATATAGTATCTAAATCATATGCTAAAAATTATATCGTCTTACAAATTTCATATAAATTATGAAGAAAATCAATAAATCATATTAAAATTTCAGTCTGTATATGAATTGTCTTAGTAATATCATGCAAATTACGAAGGAAGTTCATCCTTAATTCATCCACTCATGTAGACAGTTCTAAACTTAGCTTAGCTACGCGTATTTAAATTAAAATAAATAAAAGTTAAATGATTTTAGTAGATAAAACAAAAAAAGTGTGGTAAAAAGTGCTAGATAACTGCACAAAAAGTTGAGTATAAAAAAAAGTAAATTTTTTGTAGATATTTTAAAACAGAACAGAAGAAATTTTTTTTTGAATCTGAATTAGATTAAGAGTAAATAATCAAATTGCTATCAAACCAATTTTATACAAATACATAGAAATAGTGAAAAAGAACTTTATGAATATTTATTTAAGTAAATGCAATATAAGATTAGAAAAATAAATTAATAAATTATTTATTTAATTGAGCATATACTGGCTTACCCTGAAATTTGTACACATAAGTTAAATTTTTCTAAACTATGTATTAGTATGTATACAGTATTTCATCATATATACGAGCATAAGGAGGTGAACTAATCCAAACATGTTTGAGGTATTTTAAGGCCATTTAATTTTGAAATCAAGGAAAACCTTAAAGTTAAAGGTCTTAATTTCTTTCTACAGTACTTAATGCCTACAAGCAAAATTACTAAAAAGTTTGTTATAATTGTGATATATTCTATCTAATTCAATTTTTTGTAGAGTACAAAAATAAAATGCTTTCATTATTTCAATAAATAAAATGTTGAAAAAATTAAAAATGCTTTATTAAAAAAAAACTGCAATTTATATTAGCAATTTTAAAATCAAAAGTTCTTATAAAATCTTAACTAAAACGACTGCAAATTGTTAACATTTACAGTTTTGTATGTTAATAATGGACGATATTAGATACCTAATAATAATCCGATATCTAAAGCATTATTATATTTGCAATATAATATTTTCAGCTCCGCTTAAAAAAACAAATTTAATTCTACATTTTGTAAGCTCTTGTAATATTGCCAAAAAATAAGTGTATCGTATAATATATATTATAATTATTATTACATACATGTCAAAATAAACAAGAGCCAAAGTGTCAATCAACTGCATGAAAACAAATGAACTTAAAGTAATAGTAGTTAATTACTCTAAGAAAATAAGAAGACATATTTTTATTGATAACTATCAATTTAATTCATATCAGCTAATAGTTGTTAAAGTATATCACTTCACTTATTCAGCGTATAGAATCGTATAGTCAATGCTCAACTTAACTCAAATGTATACACTGCAATAACAAAAACAATTATTTAGTGGCAAAAAGCTTGAAAAAAAATCACTATACCATACAAGTATAAAAAAAATAATAATAAAAAAACTATCAGAAGTGGTTGTTAACTGCACTAAAAAAAGTATTAAAAAATGGAACATTAATCTGCATAAACAATGTTAAAATAATCAACAATTATGTATATAAACACAGAACTTTGAGTTGGATATCTATTTAATAGAACAAAAAATATTAGGTACATTATGGGAATATTATATCATGTCTGATAAATCATGTAATATATAATAAACCAACCTAAAATTCGTGGTTCATATTCTCTAATTGAATTTTTAAAAGGTTGTGATAGAAATAAACTTTCTATATAGATTTTTTAGTGCTATTATAGCAGTAAGTTGATTTCTTGTAGTGCTATTATAGTAATGAGTACAAGTCTCTAAAATAAGTTATTGATAATTATTCCATTTTTTTGTCTTTTTTGTAGTAAATTCAGTGTTGATTTCGTTCTCTCTTCAGAAGACGTTCTTAAACTCAACAACAGATGTATCCAAATTTAGAAGCACTATTATATCAGTACAATAATGAATTATACTGCAACTTAAGCTTGTGTATAGTGCAAAAACAATTGAAACATAACATTCTAGAATTATTGCTTACATTTAATATACGTATATTGAACAATTCTCAATGCTAAAGTCATAAATTGCAACGAAGCCCATATTGCTTAAAAGTCGTAAATAGTATTATTGTCCATAGTTTTTAGAATATGTAGTACTCCTATTGCTGTCTATTTGTAGATATATATTGATGAAATCAAATTTTGATGTTTGTACAGCTCGTAATAAAGAAGAGCCATAAATCCATAAAAGTGAACTAATTACTTCATTGTCTATGTCGGTTAATTTAATTGCATATTCTTTGGAAATTACTTATCTTATCTGAAATGATTTTGGCTCAGAGAAAAAAAAATTTTTTTTTATAGATTATAGAATAGATATAGGTGCTATTGACCTTGATTTTAATAAATAACTTTTATACGAAATATAAGTACAAAAAATATATACTTAAGTTGTTTGTGCATTATGTTAAGCACTTAATAAAAATTAGATTTAATCTTTTGAAAAACAGGTACGTTATTCGTTAGTATATATTTCATTTTCAAATATTATGTTTCTACCATATAAGAAAAATTAAGTACGAAGAACAAAAAGTTGCTTTATTCTGTCCGTTTTCTTTCAGATATAATATTAATTATTGTAAATAGAAAAATTGACATTTACAGATATGAGTGAGAAAATTGAATAAGAAGTGAAAAAAGCAGTAGGTAAGTTAATTAAAAAGCCGTTTTCGTGCAAAGCCGTTTGACAAAATTTTGACAAGATTATTAACCTCAAAAGCTTATAAGTAAAATGATCGAATTTTATCTGAAAACTAAAATTTATTTGCCTTAGTGAAAAAGTGAGAGTATATAAAAAAATTTTGCCGAACACTAGCCAATGTCGACGCTGTGTAAAAGATACAAAAAATAATACAAAATAAATTATGAGTGTGAACAGCATTTATGATTAGTTGATGGTTGATTAGTTTGTGTATACTTAGTTTGTGTATTCGAACATTAGTGTATCGATAATTTAAAATGTTGCTTAGAATCTACATTGACTAGAATTTGTGTTCGAATACAAAAAAGTATTATTTTCGAATTGTGTCTGCGAATAAAAATTTGTGTCTGTAATTGAAGAAGTAGACATGCAAAAATCTTGTTAAGATCTTGTCAGTGTGGATGCCGAGTTATTATAAAATGTTTGAGTTAGTCGAATCAGCAAATCTGCTTTGTTTTATTTCATTTTTGTTTTATTTTCTACAAATATACATGGCAATAAATGTTCGAATACAATATAATGGTAGGACTTATTCGAGCAGTACGATTTCGTTCAAAGATTACAATAATTTTAGTTTCGAAAATTTTTAAATACTGGTTTTTATATTTACATATAAATTTTATTGAAAATGTATTTCTTTCAAGCATACATTATAATATAAAGTCTTATTATATAGTTGTTTGAGTATTCTTGTACTCTTATATTCTAAATTGATATGTAATATTTTATAGTTGGATAGTGAATAAACTTATTTCAAATACTACATATACTAAATCATTTACCAATTGATGCCTGCGCAACATATTAGGCGTATGGTGGCCTAGAACGATTTCAAATGAAGATTTATGGAGAATAACGCACCAAACAAACGTAAACAGCGAGATGAGAAAAAGAACTATTGTTGGATTGCACATACACTGCGTAAGCCTTATGAAGATATCGCGCATGCTGCACTTACTTGGAACCCCCAGGGGACTAGGCGTAGAG